GCATCAAAAAATCTCTAATAAGTTACACGTCGACGCTGTCTTCTCTGCTCCTAATCAGCTTGCCAACCTGTGCAAACAAGTTAACTCATCATATTCCCACCGAACAGAAATTTGTACGAAGAAACATCGGAACAGCTTCGGCGAGTGCGCGGAGGAAGTGGTGTACTCATTTCCTTTTTCGTGTGGGAAAATAAAAATAGGGCAGACTGGACGATTCCTTAATGATAGGTTCCGTGAACACAAAAACAATAGTACCAGAGCTAACTCTGGCCACCTGGGCATACACTGCAGCGATTGTCGGTGCGAGGTTCACCTGCCATCTTGTACAATTTTAGGTAGGAAAACTAATCAATTAACGAGAGAAATTATAGAAGCCGAGCACATCGTCGGGAATTATGAAAACTGTATCAATATACCATCTTTGAACCTGACAGAAAAAGAAAAACATTTTCTAGGCGTCTAGGAAATTGATGCGCGTGATTCGGGAAATTCAGTAGTTCCATACATAAAAAAAGACAAAGTATATAAAAACGAGTTGTCAGTCAGCGCGGTTCGTTCGAATTTTTCCTTTCTTTTTCGTGTGTAAGGAATGAGTGTACTTTTGCAGTAGTGCGCTGTAGTGTGTTAATCTGAGTAAGGGTTTTCACCTATATGCCTAGCCCCGCACACCACCACATGGGCCCCTTCAAGTACGTGCAAATAAAAATAATAATATTATTATTATTATTATAACAATCCTGTTTTCGGCTCACAAGTAGTTTGTGCTAACAGAACAATGTTGTTTTTTAGTTCGCGTTATTTCGCGATTTTCAGTTGTCTGCATAAAGCCAAACACAAAACTATACACGCTCGACGTTGCACATTCGGCATTCCTAACTCTTCCCATCTTTCTAAACGTCCGCGTGTGTCCTAACATCAGAAACCGGAATTTTAAAGGTTAAAAACGGCACATTGCGAATATGGGACACACACTTTCAAGCAAAGCTGACATCAAGTGACTAAGATGGAAGACATGCGTATTTACAATATTGTTATCTCTTCTGGTGAAGGGTCAGCAACCGTCGCATTCGCTTTCACGCACGGAACGGTGACTCCCAGAGAAAGTAAAGACGCAGTGTTAGTGCATTTGCATTTACACCACACACACTTGCAGGCCGCGCTGATAAGGCCTCAAAATTGAAACTCTCGTAGCGCGATTCGTGACTGCCCCGGCTATTACCCAACCTCGTTGTCGCGCCACATTCTTCAAGCAGACACTAAAATTGCCAGTAAACATTAAAAGCGACTCCGACACAGCTATCTTGTAGAATCTCACCTTATTTTCTGAAATTGGGAAACAGCGCGCAAAAAAACGAAGACGACGAGAGAAGAGCACAGGACAAACGCTGACTATCAACTGAAGTTTTATTAAAAACGGCTCAAGCAAGAAAACACCACACAGTCAACCAACGCCAAACAACCAATGGCGTGTCGCTCACCAGTCATCTATAAAATCTATCTTTTTTTTTGTGAAGATAAACAGAAGGTTGGCTGACGCAGTGCCCCGCGCCAGCTTTTTCGATAGCATGCGCCTCCAGCACCTCTCTTTGCACTTTTGTGCGCCCCCTGCCAATGATTAAGGTATTTTGGAAGACGGGGTGACACTGGCAGTCTCTGCAATGTACGTACAAGTGACCTCCGGACATTGACCGCAGGGAATTCGCATGCTCACGCATTCTCTCGTTGACGCAGCGTCCCGATTGTCCAATGTAAACCCGTCCGCATGACAATGGAATTTTGTAGATGACACCCACAACGCAATCCACGAACTTGTTGACATGCTTAACAGTACATGTCATCTTGTTACTGCTTGCCTGGTTTACGCGCGGGAAAAGTTGTGCTAATTTTTGAGGCGCTGAAAAAACCATTGGCACATTGAACCGGTTAGCCACTTTTTTTTAAATTATGTGAAACCTTATGTAAATATGGGACAACCTGAGGCCTTTGTTTAGACTTTACTTTTGGTTCCCGAGAACCGCTCTTGACTTTTTTCAAGAGTGTCTGAGAGACACCAAGCAAAACAGAAAGAGGAAATCCTGCTCCTAAAAGTCGCTTGACCTGGGCTTCATAGCTGTCAAGCATGGCATGGTGACAGGACCTGTACAGTGAAGCTTGGAGGCATGACGTGGCAATATTTCGTTTCACAAGTTTGGAGTGGGCGGAATCGTATGGCAGAATTTCCTTCTTGGTTCGCGGGTTGTAGCGCCAACACACATGTTGCCCAGTGAATTGCAGCCGTAAATCCAAAAACTGCAAGAAAAAGCTGGCGCGGGGCACTGCGTCAGCCAACCTTCTGTTTATCTTCACAAAAAAGAGATAGATTTTATAGATGACTGGTGAGCGACACGCCATTGGTTGTTTGGCGTTGGTTGACTGTGTGGTGTTTTCTTGCTTGAGCCGTTTTTAATAAAACTTCAGTTGATAGTCAGCGCTTGTCCTGTGCTCTTCTCTCGTCGTCTTCGTTTTTTTTGCGCGCTGTCTCCCAATTTCAGAAGTCATGAACCAACTCGCTTGCATCGCCACCTTAATACACTCACCTTATTATTAGTAATAATTGTGTCAATAGGCACTACATGTTGTATTTAAGTTAAGACAAAAAACAAAACCTTTTTTTTTTTGTTAAAAAACTAAATAATAACGTTAAGTCTGGTAACAGTGTATTTTTTGCTGTACCTTTGCCGAATCTTTAGAAAGTTTGGCAAAAGTTCGGCTCCGCCGAATTTTCGAATCGGCAAAAGTTCGGCCCATCACTAGTAAAAACGTGCGCCCCGGGGAAGGGGCGGTCTGGGGTCTGCCCCTCCCCCCCACTCATAAACGAGTTGGTACGGCACTGCCCATGGCCACCGAAGATCGGGGTCATTTGGGAAGCGATGGAGCTTGAAGACATTGCAGCCGCACTTGCCGGATTCCGTGTAAGCTACATAGGTCCTCGGACAGTATTCGACGCTTTTTGTCTTTATTTGTGCACCCTATGACCGAGCAATGGTGTCCCGATGACCGAAGGATTGTCGCCATCCAAGCCTGTGGCTCTAATTGGGTTTGCGAGTTTAAAACAGAAATGAAAGAGCCAACAAAGTTCGGGCTCTGCAGACACCCAAAATCGGCGAAGCCTCTCATCCGGGACTTTCACTCTTTTTACCGCTCCAGCAAGAGGGAAAACGCCGGTGGCCCTTTTCCTTCTTCTCTCGTGCAGTCAAAATGGCGGTATCCACTATAAAACGGTCTATAGCGTGGATATCCGAATTAGTCTACCAATAGTTCCAAGTGAAGATATTTAATAATCGAAAGTATAAGGACCCGCGCCTCCACTAGTAAGCCGTTTCTTCCTTCAAATGAACGAAGACAAATTAAACATTACCCAATCATCAAAAACTATTCAAAATTTTAATAGAAAACACAACTTTGTACGTATAGTTTGCAGATATTCGTATTCAACATATTGACAGGTTTCAACACGAGCACACATTGTTTGAGCAACAAGAATACCGAAGGTATCTGCCTTCAATCACGATTTTATGGCAGGATCTTTAAAGTACATTATTTTACGAAGTGCAAAGTCGGTAGACTAGAACGTTACAGATTTATTTGCAATGTGCGGTGCAATAAAAAACGAGAGATAAGATAAGAAAATTTAATATACAATAATATGATACCAAGCTTGTAAATCGTTCCTTCTTCCAGAGAAAAAAAAATGTACCAGACAGTTATTTTATAGGGAAATAAACTGTGTGAACAACGATAAATATAAAGACAGAGAGTTTCGAAATAGTTCTACTTGAAAACGAATTGCCTCGCAAACCGTCCTACGATCAAGGAGAAGTTCGCAACATGCTCTGCAGAAACAAAATACAAACAAACGGTGGTGCGTGTTGGAATAATCATAATTCACCCCTGAATAAACAGCGATGCAGACGCTAACTGAGTACTTGAACGAAGTTGCCGCGAATGCTTGAATCACACAGTGCACACCGTGAAGATTACTTCTTCACGAGACTCGCGATGATACGCCCTTGTATCCCAACAAAGCGCGCCTTCTTCAAGCGCTCGGCCGACGCGGGACCGGCGCGCGGAAGGAGTCGAAGCGAAACAAACAAAAAGGCGAAACATTTCATCACATGGCGACGTGACGACTGGCGCCGGAGCGGCGCAAGACGGCAACGACCGTGGCGAAGCTGTAAAAGCCGCACAACGCGCGCGCAACACGAGCGCCAGTGGCGCGACTACGGTGAGCGCGAGGAGTACTTCTGAATTATTGATGTCGCTGAGTGAGTAAGTGAGTGAGTGAGTGAGTGAGTGAGTTCGATGAGGGGCGTGAGTTTGTGATTTCGGTGAGTTCGGATATGGGCGTGAGTTCGTTGAGGGGCATGTGCTCATGAGTTTGGTGAGTACATGAGTTTGTGAGTGAGGACTTGAAGGTGAGTGCGGTCGTGAGGTTGAGGGGGAGTGTGTTTTTACCTTTTTATCTTGAGCTAGCTGTGAGTGAGTGAGTTTAACCAAAAAGGGCGACCTCTGCTACTTCCCCGAGTAGAACAGCCGACCTCAATCATTGTAAATTATTTCAGACCGATTATAAAATCATATTCTATGGGACATGTGTACAAGTCGGTTTTTAGAATGAAGGATAACCTCCCTGGCCTCGCTCTGTCCGTGTCTTTCTTTACCTTGTCCCTCGTTTTTTGCGCTGTTTTAACCTTTTAAGAATGTCATACCAACTCGCCCAGGCTTCAACTTTAGCAACCTCGTGGTACGTTGGGATAAGTGTACGACGTAATCCAATAATCTCCTCAAGCACACGAATTAACCTTTTCAATATTCGTTTTAAATAGCACATTGTTACGAGGAACAGTTCGCCCCTCGCTGAATTAAGTCAGAGCAATCGTTAGATTTCTTCAGATTGAGATTGACCAAGTTGAAAAGTGGCTGATTTGTTCGCACAACGGCTTTGTCTCTCTTTTGACCAGCGGCATCCTGATGTTCTACCACATCTCGTTCGTGTGGACAAGTGTTATTGGATTCGTGGCAACACTTCCCGTGGCACTGCTCGTCAGCCTTATTTTCGGTATGTGCAAGTTTTACGCTCCAGTGACAGTATGACATTTCTGAATACTAGTCAGGATCGATTTTCAGGGTGAGAGCGACGCATGTGTTTATCAGGCAAGCAATGAAATAGAGTTGGTTTCTAACGCATCTTCGTACAGATTACAGTGTCTGAGCCGATTTTGTCTTGTGTCTGTACGTGTTCCCGGATTGCGTAGATGTTTATTATCTAAGCTGATTACCAAAACTGTCCATCGAAGACTAAGGATTAAGTAAATATTTGCTGATATTCCTTTCTCTCAACTGGCTGTTCTCCCTCCCCTAGTAGAAAGAATATAGACCAAGGCATTGTTTACAAACGAGTCTGCGTTTGGCCACACCAGGTGTGGGCAATGCGCGTGCACAGAAACCAGATTCTCGTGAAATGAAGCTTTTGCGCATGCGCCGTGTCCCAAGCAGGGCCACCGCAGCGCCGTGACGTCATAGTCGGGCGTTAGTGTATACGGAGCGCAAGTTCGTCTGCGTCTTGCTCAGGGGTTGCGATGATGTCAGAAAGCCGAGCTCTTATTGGCTGTTCGAGAAACTAGTGGGTAGACCTCAAGGCGTCTAGTATTGATTTCTACCCACTGTCCTTTCAATCGGAGCCGATGAGAGCTCGGCGTCTCTCCGACATCACCGCAACTCCTGCGCAAGAAGCAAACGGCTTGCTCCCTGCCTATAAATGCTTCCAATGTGATCAACTAGCCTGGGTAACAAAAAGAACGAGAGCTTGAGAATATTAGGATAAGAAAAATATTGACTTTAGATGATTAGGATCTCTGGTAATCGCAGAATGGGGAAACATATCAGAATCTGGCAGTTCCGTCGGCAGTCCAGAAGAAGAACTCGCGGTAACTAAGAACTTGATAGCTTTGAAGCTACAGAGTTTTTTTTAGCTGGCTAACGAAGGGCATTCAAGGTTCCGTAACGTTTCCATATACTGCGAACGCCATAAAAGATCTTAACCATCTCGAGACAATATTGTTTTAAATGTGTCCCATAAACATACACGAGAACATACGAAACCCTATAATAACTTTTATACGTATTATATAATTTATGTAGATCTTGATATGTTTATTAAACTAATTCTGTACAAATTTATTGTTCTTTCTATTGGGTGTTTAGCTTGTGCTGTTTAGTTTTAGTAATCATTCTTAGTAGAGAAGAAAAAATGACGTTAACCTTAAGGTGTCTTTTTCTGCACCAAAACAAAAACTCGCCAACATCTAGAAACTGACGGACCTCGTCCACAAACGCCAGGTAGGCTGCCGGAAAAAAAGCGACGTAGCCCGTTAATAGCATGCGTGGAAGGCGAAGTTTATCAGATCCCGCTGACGTGCGGCAGGAAATACGTGGGGCAGACGGGAAGATGTGTCAACAATACATTACGCGAACACAACCAAAAAGTGAGTGGGCAACGGTATGACGATTTGTCAATGCACTGTCATGAAAATGGGTGCAAACCTGAGTTCAGGTTGTGCACGATCATCGGTAGACACGAGGATAAAACGGTACGGGAAATCACTGACGCAGACCTGAAAAAAAGTTACGGAGATCGGTGCGGCTGCGTGGCTTCGATTGACCTGTTGGATCAAAATACCCAGTTCTTGCGAACAGCGGCCGGGTAGGATGTTAATTAAGTGACAGGAGGGCGCAGAGTTTCTCCTCTATACCCATGTGAATCCCGGAGACTATTATTCTCTGCTGTTTTGCTTTCTTTTTTTTTAATGGTATGCACATCTTGTTTGACCCTCATTTCAGAGCGAAACGACGAACAGTCTGTGGATCCCAGATACGTGTGTTCATTTTCACGGAAGTTCATGAAGAACGGATCCAAGCCAGATAAATTAAATCTCAAGGTATCGTGACGTGCATTTTACTACCGTAATATACCGAGAGATGGCCCACCTAGAGTCGAAGGCATATCGGGTAAAATTAAATAGCGGGCTAACTTTCGGTGTGCTATCAAAAAGAGGAGACAAATTGTAGTTTTATATTCCGTAACCTGCGAAACTTGTAATTCCAGAGAGGGGTGATGAACCAATGATGAATGTCCCTCCCAGTCGGAAATGTTCGCTTATCTCCCGCCGTGGCTAAGTAACACCATTTCTGCCCGGGTCACCAATGGTCAAGTCTCTGCAATTACGAGAACCTTTCGGTGATTTTTAAAAAAAATAACAACTCGTGCAAACGTAGGGGGGGGGGGGGTCACAATTCGGCGGTGGCGCATCTCTCGGGATGTTACGGCACGCTTGATTTAATTTCTGAATGGCGTATTTTATTAAATATTTCTGATGCAATAGAAAAAAAAAAGTTTCCTTGAACTTTTCTTTTTGTCCCAAAAGTCAAATGAGTGAGGCATCTCAGAAAACTGGTGAACCGCTTGGAAGTCAACGATGACTATAGGAATATAAGTTTTGGAACTTTGTGAAGGTTAAAAGGAATAACAAGACAGTATTCTTACACTAAACCACGAAATGACTAGACATGAAATAGATTTAGCCCACATCCACTTGGCCTCACAACACCTACATACACCGTAGCAGTGGTGCACTTGCAGCTGTTCTTTCACCAAAGAAAAGAAAGCAACATCAACGCTACAGCTTGTCTCCTTTTATTATAATGCAATTAAATGCAAAGGTGCAAGCGAGCTGGACAAGAATGACGAAAGTAATCCCTGGAGAAGGGGAACAAGAGGGACAAAGGACAAACAGAAATCTCCAAACACAGCTAGGTGACTGGTGAGCGACCGAAAAAATCCGCCTGGTCCGGGTATCGAACCCGGGACCTCTCCATTACAAGTGGAGCGCTCTACCAACTGAGCTAACCAGGGGTTAGACGTCAGTAGAGCAAACGGGTTTTATCAGCTGCTACCAGTCGAACACCAACAAGGGTGAAGCTTGCAATTTAAAGTTATTATTATAATGCAATTAAATGCAAAGGTGCAAGCGAGCTGGACAAGAATGACGAAAGTAATCCCTGGAGAAGGGGAACAAGAGGGACAAAGGACAAACAGAAATCTCCAAACACAGCTAGGTGACTGGTGAGCGACCGAAAAAATCCGCCTGGTCCGGGTATCGAACCCGGGACCTCTCCATTAGAAGTGGAGCGCTCTACCAACTGAGCTAACCAGGGGTTAGACGTCAGTGGAGCAAACGGGTTTTATCAGCTGCTACCAGTCGAACACCAACAAGGGTGAAGCTTGCAATTTACCAGGCGGATTTTTTCGGTCGCTCACCAGTCACCTAGCTGTGTTTGGAGGTTTCTGTTTGTCCTTTGTCCCTCTTGTTGCCCTTCTCCGGGGATTACTTTCGTCATTCTTGTCCAGCTCGCTTGCACCTTTGCATTTAATTGCATTATAATAATAACTTTAAATTGCAAGCTTCACCCTTGTTGGTGTTCGACTGGTAGCAGCTGATAAAACCCGTTTGCTCTACTGACGTCTAACCCCTGGTTAGCTCAGTTGGTAGAGCGCTCCACTTGTAATGGAGAGGTCCCGGGTTCGATACCCGGACCAGGCGGATTTTTTCGGTCGCTCACCAGTCACCTAGCTGTGTTTGGAGATTTCTGTTTGTCCTTTGTCCCTCTTGTTCCCCTTCTCCAGGGATTACTTTCGTCAAGCTTGTCTCCGCAGCTGGAATAGAAATGTGCTATATTTTGAACGACATGTCGACATGTAAGGCGCTGATTATTTAATCAGCGCCTTTCATGTGAATATAATTTGTTCGCCATCAATTTTTAATGTGGCAGACTTTTTTGGAACGCAAGGTATAGATTGTTCTGTGTGATCCGCCTTTTATTTTAACACCTAAGCTGTTGTAATAATGTTTCGAATCCCGGACAAAAGCTCACCGGTGAAAATCTTACCGGACAAAAGCTCACCCCTTTTTCACAAACCCGGACAAAAGCTAACCAGAAAAAGATTTCATGTTCGGCTCAACACAAGCGCGGACAACTTAGGTGCATGCGTCGGACACAGAAATTCAGCGATAAATTAAATTTGATATGCACATGATTTGGTAAATGTGAACAAAGATATTTATCAATTGGTTAAAAGCGAATGTACTCCTACACTGCTTCCAGCAGCCCTGGTAGATCTCGGTGCACTTGGAACCTCTCACAAATATTTTTCAAACGATTCCGGCGTACTTTGAGTTAACGTATACCTTGATCTTACCAACTCCACTCAGCTTCGGTGGCCTAAATGTTGGTCCCAAATCGTTGCTTCTGTGCCTGTTACGGCTTATCTGTCGACTCCGTTGCATAATATAGGGTTCCAGTTCTACTAGAAATAATGCAAAAAAAAAGAGGTGTGCTTTTCTCCGGGTTTGTAAAAAGTACAAAAAAAAAAAAAACGGTTGAGCTTCTGTCCGGTGAGTTGCTGTCAAGTGAGTTTTTGTCCGGTTACCTATTATTTCATTCAGAATTGACGAAACTAGCGTGAACGTAGCAATATTTAACTTTCTTTTCAAACTGTAAAGGCCGGTTCACAGATACAGTGGAGCGCTAAGTTAGCGTTACGTAAGCGCTCATGTGGCGCTTCTTAGCGCGTGACGTAGCGCTCGGATAGCGCTTCAGCAGCGCACTGTTTGCGCTACAGAAGCGCTCTGTTAGCGCTGCAGAAGCGCTCTGTTAGCGCTTCAGAAGGGCTGTGTTAGCGCTCTCACGCTTCTTGTGCCGTGCTTGCTGCTGCGGAACAGCGCGTGCACGGCGATTCCGTTGTTGTTTTTCCTTTGTTGGCGAAAGAAGAGAAAGTAAAAGGGCCGCTCTCCAAGCAAACGGTCGGGCAGATGATCCAGAGTCATGGACTCTGAGCGACTAATTGATTGAGTACGACCTCATCGATTTCTATTCGACATGCGTGACCCTGGTTTCAAAGACACGCAGTTAAAAAAATAATTACCTTCGAAAGAACTCTCGTCCTTCAGCCTGGGAACAAGGTTCGCCGGATACGCGTCGGTATCTCGGTGGCGAAAGATTTCGCGCACCCAGAAGGCTCTTCTGGGTGCGCGAATTGCGTATGTAACGGCATTTGTCCCGTTTCTATTTCAGCGTCCCACATGTCCGCCATAGTGCTGCTGATGCACCCAACCACAGGAACCGGAACCGCAGTGCACGCGCTAATCCGCAGCAGTAACCGCGGCACAAGGAGCGCTACAAAAGCGCTACAAAAGCGCTAATCGCGCGCTATATTAGAACTAAGTCACGCGCCAGGAAGCGCCACATGAGCGCTCCTTGGAGCGCTCACGTAGCGCTAACATAGCGCTCCGCTGTATGTGTGAACAGGCCTTAACTGTAACGCTCACTTCTTTTGAATCAATGTAACTTTCTGTAAAAATCGTTACTAAGGGAAGGAGAAACGAGAGCCGAGCGTTTGTTACTGCTTACACCATACAGGAATTGAAAATATAAAACCCATAGAACCAGGCGAGTAGGAAAACGTTCCATGCTCCATGTCCCCATTTGTGTGAAGTAATATCAAAGGCTACAGATGGGGGCGTGAGAGCCTGAATGTGCGAAACGGTTATTGTGACTAGGGTGCCATGATGTGTGATTTGCTTAAAGTGGTGTCATCTGGTAAGTTTAATGTGAAAGCATTAACTGTCCCATGGAGCGAAGCCTGCAACCATCTGTGGCAGAAACATGGCACCTAAATTCCCATTTCCAATAAAACACAAAGAAAAGCACAGCCACGCAAATGCCTCGTCAAGGAAGCCGGTGGGTGCGCGCAAGGTCAGAGCGGACGCGCTTCAGAAATAAAACACAAAGAAAAGCACAGCAACGCAATGCTTCGTCGCGGAAGCCGTCGTGAAGCTGGCAGGGTTTCCCGCACCTGCGCAGTGGGAGAGCCTGATGTCAGCGCCGGAGCGCCGTGTGCGAAAGGTGGACGTGGCGCACTGCTTGTAGGAATGCGCTGCATGCAAGAATGCTTTCGCATTTATACACGTAATCAGTCTTAAGTGCCTCTGCCTAATTTTTGTTCCTGATGATTTTTTTCTTTTTTTCTGTTCTGGAGCGCGTGAAAAAGCTTGACCATGCGCGTGCTCGTGGCGCTGACTGTGCACAGCGACATTTTGTTTTCCGCGGTTCCTTTGTATTTTCCCTGTGACCGAGTACGGTCGACATCGGGTACTACAAATGATGGTATCACCCTACACAGAATAACATTGTGGCACCCTAATTGAAACCAGCCCTACGGGGGTGAGAGAGAGGAGGGGGGAGGGGTTCTTTCTGAAACCACAGCTTTAGAAAGAGCCTTCGCAGCAATGCGCAGAACATTCCAGGTGGTGCATGTGCGTGTATTTCTAAATGCCGGAGTGTTTACGTCCATGCCTGTAAATGCCGATACGTTGTTGTTTTCGCCTTAACTTGTGTGTGTATGTGTGTGCTTTTCGTCTTGCTTTTTCAGACTCAAGTGTCACCAGCGGAACTGAAGAAACTGATTGTATAGCAATAATAAAGTCTTCGGCGTCGCCTAATTAAACGTTTAAAAAAAAAAGAGTTGCGGAATATATAGTTAAGAAAACACAGCAAAATATGCTTTCCGAAAGACAAAGCAACTAAGGCCCCTAAACTCAAAGTGACGACAATCTCGCTTCGTTTGTTAAGGATATACAACGCTTCATCGGAAAGTTTTTTTTCAAAAGCGGCACTCACGCGTCAGACCTTCCAGGAGCGACGCACCCCTTCTGAGGTGCCTGGGTGCCAACTGAGCACTTTACGGTCTGCACTGTACCAACCCAAACCGCTCTGTGATCCATACTGTGTGAACTGTAGAGCTCATGAGGAAAATATGAGCGTTCTCTTTGTGTGTGCTGAGTGCGAGGCCTCGCTGCTCTTGTATGTTTGTGGAGAACGAGAATCACAAAAACGTATGCGAATATTGCCGCGCGCGTGACCGAGCAAAACGCGTTCGTGGCCAAATGGTTGCCGCGCTTGACTTCCGCGCAGAGACCCCAGGTTCGATTCCTGAAAGCGGGTGCTTCTTTTATTTATTATATTTTTTAACTGGGAAAACAGAAACGTTTAAGGCCACGGTCCCACTGAATGTGACAGTTTAGGTACTTTTTGGCAGGTCACCACTCATCTTCTTTTGAGTACTGTTTTGTGGGATTGATGTAGTTCGAAAGGCAATGCCATCTTCTTTCGTTTGATATTATGTATGTATTGGTTTATATTGTTCATGCACATTCGCAGCGTTACGAATATGATGGCGCGGATTCTCACATCCTCCGCTGGTTCATATTTCATGAACGATCTGTTAAAGATAACACGGTTCCAATAGAGCAGTTTTGTTAAGATGATGTCGGAGCAGAATGTAACTATATACTTTCTTGTTTGCACTACTTTGTTCTGTTCATCTCTCCCAATATTGCCCTAAAATTGTAATTTTTCAGCACAAATATGTTTTTAATGAAATGCGCTAGGGCAATGAAATTAGCTACGAGAGTACTTATAATTGCATGGTAATATGAAGAGAAAGATCTAACGCTGTGTAATTTTTTTTCGTTTAGATATTTTATATCAAACAGCAATTTTTTTTTGTGCCTCGAGTCACGGTGCTTCAAATGCCGCTGAGGAAATAGTTAAGCTATGATAAAATATTTTATAACATTTAGAATTACAATGGTTGACCAAGAAGTGGACACGATGGCTTTTTTTTTTATTTTCGAAGTCATAACGCTCCAGAAACCCTCCAAACGTACCAGTTTTTGACGCATTTCTTTTATGGACATCAAACAGATTTATTGGCATCTGATAATATTTATTGTATGGAATCGATACACATTGCGATGTATTAGATTTTCAAAATGATTTTGCTTTGGTTTCTTGATAGGTGTAGAGCTTAGCTAATTTTAAGAACAATAAAAACTTTTTGGGTGTTTTGTTGCACTACCTACCGGATGGCAGACAAAACTCCTGATTTATAATGTTCAGAAAATCGTCGAGGGGGGCGTTGGCGTCTGTATCATCATCAATGTCCGTGTCTTTTTACCTGCACATTTGGAAAATATATTGCACGATTTACTATCGATAAATGAATGGTTTAAATACTGGGACAGGTTAACAAATCTAAGATCAATAAGTACACAAGCGTAGTGTGATATAATGTGTTCGTTATGCGATATGATTGAAATCAATAAACAATAAAGACTAAAATGAAAAAAATACACACGAGTTCACTTCATGCAGCCTCTAAATGAGCTGCGCTTAGAGTTTCGGCATTCCGTTTCCTGACATTGTGTGGGCGCCACTATTTTGGGTCTTGTGCAGAGCACACGCAACTGCCGATCGTCATGATTCAAAAGTGCGACTTCCTCAGCATTAGATCCGGTGTTAGGAAGCTGATGCAATATTGCTTTGCTCTGTAGCGGACTGTTTAAACATTTGTGGAGGACGGAAAAGCGTTTCCTGTGATTTCATATAAAGCTTCAGATAAGTGGCAACCATGATTTTAGGCCCCAATATGGCCAAGTGTCGTTACTCTGAAGCGTAGCTTATTTAATGACACTACTCATGCCCTTGCTTAAGGAGCTTGTAATACCTGGAGGGGCCATGACGTAAGCCCCGTGCGTTCCACAAGCCACTGCCTTTTGACGCCTGCCTCTTCCTCATTGTTCTCGCTAGTGCCACTAAATTAGCCGCGCTTCAGAGTAACGACGCTTGGCCATATTGCGGCTTAAAAGCATGGTTGCCAGTTATCTGAAGCTTTATCTGAAATCACAGGAAACGCCTTTCCGTCCTCCACAAATGTTTAAACAGTTCGCGACAAAGCGAAGTAAAATTACATGAGCTTCCTAACACTAAATCTAACCCTGAGGAAGTCACACTTTTGAATCATAGCAATCGGCCGTTGCGTCTGCTCTGTACGGGCACCAACATGGCGGCGCCCACAACAATGTCGGGGAACGGAGTGCCGATACTCTAAGCGCAGCTCATTTAGTGGCTCTAGTTCCCGCGAAGCTCCTTTCCCCTGACTGAAAATAACTATAAATATTACACCATTATTATAGCTTAATTAATTATAACCAACTACACATAATGAGAGGAGGAAGCGGCCGGGTAGGAGAAACGCGGGTTTTATGCGCGACCGTTCTAACCTAACCGTCTCAGAAGAGAGAACGCCCGAGCTTGAGCTGGTTTCAAAAAGACAATCTAAAGAAAAGAGGCGGCACGTCGTGTTCTTTGTGATTTTGTGTCTGATTTATATAATAATAATAATAATAATCTTTATTTGCACAAGCAGGTGTTTTCCTGGGGGCGTGCGAGGCGAAACAGAAGGCGGAAGCCCGTACGCTGGTGCGCCTGTTGGCCCAACCCCCAGGAAACGAAAACAAAGCTAAACGTTACAAAACAAGAAGCACGTAATTTACAAAAAAGGCTACGCAATCTGTGGCGTTCGCGAGGCCCTAGCACGGCCCGAGTGTCCCCAAAGGGCGTCCAAACCGAAATCACGAAGCGCGCGCGAATCCCACCGCCGCGACGGGAGGCTCCGCCAGCAGGGAGAGACCGAGGAATGCCCAGCATCCTGGGAGGGCGAGTCAGGTGCTTTACAAGTCAGGTCCCGAACCCGATCCCTCCCCCGCGACAGAGCCCCCCATCACCGCAAAAGTCGAGGGCCACGCGCGCACCGCAATCCCGACCCGAACGCAACTCCCCCACACAATTAATTCCGCGCTCGCGAAAACGCCCGGCACAGAAGCGCGGATCCCGCCCGGTCTTCTGGGATGGGGAAGCGCACGTCCAGGGGCGCTGAGGGGAAGGCCTCGATCGCAGCTGGGAGAAACGTGCGGCAATGCAAACTGTGCGAGCCCGTAGCCGCTCGGGTTGTCCGAACCGCTTACTGATACGGAGGACCGAGTTGAGATAAGTGTTCTCTAGCGAACCGTCCAGGAGGCGGCACAACAGTCTTACACGTGCAACGGCCCGTCGATGGTCTAATGTCTGCCAGCTGAGGCGCCTCAGTCGATCCTCATAGATCTGGGAGGTGACCAGTGTACAGTCCGTCCGCGACAGGAGAGTTCGTGTTGCGCGACGCTGGGTCCCCTCCAGACGCTGAGAGAGGTGGGCTTGGTGGGGGCTCCAGATGGAAGCGCAGTATTCTAAGCGCGGGAGCACCAGAGCGGTGTACAGGCCGCGAAAGGCCTCCGGACCGCAGGAACGCAACACCCTAGTAACAAACCCGAGGGTTCGACGTGCCTTTGCCACGATGCTGGAAATATGTAGGGCAAAATCCAAGGTAGGTGCAAAGGTCACCTCCAGAATCTGAAGGTGTGTGGCGACCGACACGGGAGTGCCAGAAAAAGAATAGCAAGGGGGGTCCACACTCTTTTGCTTACCGAAGCGCATAGCAGCACTTTTGGTGAGGAATTAGTCGTTGGTGTTTGGCAGCAGACCAGTCTGCAATCAGGGAGAGGTGGTCTTGAAGGCGGGAGCCAGAAGAATGCTGGTTCAAACGGGTCAAAATGGTTGTGTCGTCAGCGTATTGGATAAGCAGGGTGTTCTCTGTCTTCGGCATGTCATTAAAATACACTGAAAAGAGAGTGGGTCCCAGCACGGAGCCTTGCGGCACACCCGAGGAAATGGTGAAGTACTCAGACGAAGACCCATGGAACACCACCTTATGAGAGCGACCAATAAGGAAGCGAGCTATCCAACGTAGCAGGGAGCCGTGTACACCAACACCTACGAGCTTCTGGAGAAGAAGGTGATGGTCCAGCGTATCAAACGCATTGCTGTAGTCTAGTTGGATGAGGTCCGTGGAAGTGTGGTCGTCCAGCGCATCGCTTATGTAGTGCGTGATGGTGGCCAGGGCAGTTTCACAACTTCTTCCTGGCCTAAACCCGTGCTGCGACGAGGAGAGTATGTTGTTGACGGACAGGTAATCTAGAAGGGTCCGATTTAGCATCCGCTCGAAAGTTCGGCACAGGATCGACGTGACTGAGACTGGCCGATACGATGAGACGTCATTCACAGGCTTGCCTTTCCCCTTGTGGATGGGCGTCACCAGGGCCCGTTTCCAGAGGTCTGGAACAGCAGCAGTGTCCAGGAAAGACTGGAATATTGATAATAAAGATGGGGATACCTGCGGACAGAGCAGCCTGAGGAATGCCGGTGGGAAGTTGTCAGGGCCTGGTGAGAGCGAGGGCATAATTTGTCGAAAAACTTCGTGGAGGTGCTCGAGTGACGGAGTTATGTCAGGCATCAGGAGGCTATGGCAGGGCGTGTTCTCCTCAATGTTTTGCACGAGGTGGTCAATGTCTGGTGTAAGCGTACCAACGTTGAAAACACTGGCGAAGTGCGGGGTTAAAGACTGTGCAATATCGCGTGGGGATGTGAGAGGGACGTTGTTGTTCACGAAGGTTAGCTTGTTGCTACTGGTCTGTAGCTTGCTCATGTACGACCAGAACAGCTTCGGATCCTCCCTGGCCTTGAGTGCAACGTTACGGGCATAGCTGATGTGAGAAGTGTGGATGGCAGCTTTCAACGTTCTCTGAAGGTCCTTTGCTGCCCGGAGAGTCTCCGCACACTGCAGCCGCGCTGCCTTCTTGAAATGCGCTCTTTTCTGATTGGCCGCTTTTATAATCTCGCACGTAATCCAGGGGGCCCTCTTCCGCCGGGTAGAACGAAGTGAATGAGGAATGGACTCGCGCTGGATGGCACTCGCAAAATCGCACCCTAAGTCAAAGTTTGAGAGACAGTCCCTTCCTGCGGTAGTCATGCACCAAGGCGCAAGATGAGCTAGATTAGCGAGGTGAGAGTGGTCGGTTTCATAAAATCTCCAAGTAGTACGAGCAAAGTGGCCCTTTCTGGGCAAGGAGGTTGCAAAAGACACCTCCACGGCCATATGGTCGCTACCACTGAGGCCGGGATAAACATCGCAGGAGAGGACCTTTGTGATGTCCGTAGTGAAGACCAAGTCGAGGAAACTGCTCCAAGGCAGGTAAGTGGGGCTGTGGCAGACTTGCAGAAGCCCAGCTGAAGAAGTTGAGTCCAGGAGAAAATCGTCAAGAGCATCACCAGGAAACGGTTCGTCGTGACTCCACCAGTCGATATGCGAGTTAAAATCACCAATGATCAGGACGTCACGGTACGGTTTCAGCAATGCACAGGTGAGGGAGGCGTCGAGTAGCTTATAGGCGGCGTCCCGCGTGCAGGGGGGGGGGGGGGGGGGGGGGGGGCAGTACACGCACCCGAGGAGGACAATACCTTGTGGCGTGTAAAGATCGAGGAAGATCGCCTCCAGGTCGGGGTGCTCAAGGTCGTGCCTCCGGTCGGCTGTGATGCCGTTAGGGACGGCAACGAGCACTCCTCCCCATCTGCCACCTCTGTCTCGGCGGTATATGGCGTGTGCAGTGCCCAAAAGCTCGCCGCCGTGCACACTGGCGTCGAGCCAGGTCTCCGTGAGCATGAAGATCGTGTTGCTGGTAGTGAGCTTACAATAGTCTGAAAATCCTGGACCTTATTCTTCATGCTACGACAGTTCGTGTACCACAGGTTGAGAGACTTGCGCAGCGTGCCACCGGCGCTAGGCCGGCTGCCGACGCGTCCAACTCTGCGCGCGCGCACCGCTCACGCCGCCGCCCGCCAGAGAATTGTATATTTGAAGATCGACGATGGATGTCGATCGTCTTGAGGTAATGTAACGTAATAACGTATAAATAATAACCATAATGGAGGACTGAACGACTCAATTTTGCAATTTTTGGATTGTAACATGGCGGTAGCCTATTGTACTTAAAGTTGATGAAGAGCAATATGAGATGACGAGGTGATGATTAGATGATAAGGCTCTATATAAGGACGACGACATCAGTGGGCGTCGATCCACAACTTACAGTGCCGGACTTGTTTCAAGTATCGTGTACCCAAATACTTCACCCGCAACAGAATATGGTAAAATCAATAAGGATGCTGCTTTACAACTGTACGTAGAACAGCAAAACTGCGCTGTGCAAAAGTGCAGTTTATTCGTTAATATGATGCACGGATTTCTAGCAGCATCCCCTGATGGATTGCTTGGAACAAATGGCCTCGTTGAGGTAAAGTGTCGACTGAAACCGCAAAAAAGTATGAGGTAAAGCTAAGAAAAAGGAGCCTGGTGTGAATGGTCTAAGTCACCACCATAGCTTTTACTACCAAATACAAGGACATTTACACAATACGCAAAAAGAGTTTTGTGATTTCTGTTTACTTACACTGAAGGGCATTGATATCCAACGCATTCAAAGGGATGACACCTTCTGGTCAACCAACATGGAGCCTTTTCTACTCGAGTTTTACTTGGAAGGCCGGACTTCCGCTGAAATTCCTCCCGTAGACGAGTTGTCCGATCGAATAAACTGCCATTACTCCGCATCTTTGAATCTCCCGATCATCGTTCGTAGGCCATAGTGTCATAAGATCGAGGGGTGTGACCTTTCGTCCGCCAAACATTGCTTCGGCGGGTGTTCTCCTCGTGGAAGATGAGACCGTCGCATGCTGCCGGAACAAGAACCTGGCGATCCTTCACGGAACTGCTTCTTCCGTAATCTTCAAGAGGGCTTTCTTCATTTCGCACACCATCTGTTCTGCTTGCCCGTTAGATGCAGGATAGTATGGCGCACTCATGTGGTGCCTGATGCTGTTTTTTTTTTTTTTTTTCAAAAGACTTTTTTTATTTTGCTTGAAACAAGATTCAGCGCGTTCTCAGAGAAAAGTATTTTCGGTAAGGCCGAAGTAACGAAAACAGAGCGTAGAACTTCATTGACATGTTTGGACGTCGTGGCATGCATCTTGTAAACTTCCAACCACTTAGAGTACGCATCGACCTTGACTCCGCAGATGCGGATACGTTTCGCGCCACCTACCGGCTGAATAGTGGATCATTTTCAGCACTGTTTTCAGCTACTATTCATGATGGCGCTGGACTCGAGGAAGACTTTGAGTCTTTCCGCAAAGTTAGCCGAGGTGCCAACACTTTTGTCGAAAGCGGTAAGTGTTCGAAACGTCGACAACGTCGGTAGCGATGTGCTGTGCTTGACACTGGACGCTTACCATTCGCTGAATAGAAACTTGCTTGTTCGTCTGCCACGAGTCGTCCGATATCAGGTCATCACCGCACCTCCATCTCCCGACAAAACAGGCCTTCATTGTCCGCATGTCCACAGTTAGCAATCATGTGAACGCTCATCGCTTGCCGTCGCTTGCCCGAACACTCATCGCTTGCCGCCGCTAAACGCCGCCCATTCATAGCGTCTTTATTGCAAATAAACGTCTTCCTATTTATTCTGATGCTTTTCATCATATTCCTTCTAAGCTGTACTTACAACATTATATCTGTCGGTACTTCCGAAAATATTGCGACGTCCATTCGTTTTCTGGGAACCTATAACGTAACAACCTTTACAACATCTTCCGGATCCCGTAAAACACAATATTTCGTGACGTCACTTTGCAGTCGTCATTATAATGGTGAGGTAAGTACCGTAAATCGCGAAGCATTTTACTAGACGTCCGCTTCCACAAGAAGAAGAGATCACCGAGAGTAATCGTCTTTCTGATTGCTCTCCCATTTGTCACTAGAATTCACCCTAGTTAAAGCCCAAATACACCCAGCAAGCAGTCCGAAGCGTAAGTTCAAATCACAAAATCGGTCCTCGATCAAGACGGGACCACTGTGCACCGTCTTCAATAGCCTCGGTTCCCGGATAGGGTTCCCCATTCCCTCCTTTCTACATTCTTTGTGGTGAGCTAAACATCTCGCGACGCCCGACGAGCGAGACCATTGACGAATAACCCCAACCCAGGTGGTATTTTTAGCCTCGCCAACTAACAAGATGTCGCCATTCCAACGCTTCGTAGTGGGGCTCGCAGTAATTTCAGCTATTCACTCCCGTTTCCTCGGTGCTGTCGCTTCACGTAAGCAAAGTGCGAGCACACGCGCCGGCTCCCTTGCACATTTCAACGAAGATATTATTTGGATCTGCGCTCTTCTGTGCCGGACCTCCACTGGACCAATGTCGACTGGTGTGCCGGCGAAGCTCTGTGCCCAGATACATCATGAACGCCGTCTCCCGACTATCTCATTACTTTCCTGCCGCAGTACCCGGAATCTTGCCATCTGGTGTCTTGTCCTCTCTGGTGATATCGCGTCCAACCCTGGTCCCAGGCGCACCTGCTGCCGATGTGAAAGAATGGTATCTGCCAACGTGGCGGCTCTTCAATGTGACGGCTGTGGACGATGGGCACACCGGAAATGCGAGCTCATGCCCCTTCCTGTGTACCGACGACTGTCAGCCTCAACAGAGTCCTGGTTTTGTGGTTCGTGCCAACTGCCCCCTTTTCACGACTCGTTTTTTGAGCTATCAGAATGCACGAGCCCCTCTAGCATCGACACGAGTGCCACAACCGGTGTGCCCGATGCATCTGTGCACTCAAAGCCAACGGGCATTAACAGATCTTCCACTTTCTGGTATAATAACTGCCGCAGTGTAAAAAACAAGATTTTAGACCTTCAGTCACTTGCTTCCTCCCTCCCACCGTATTCGACCATCTTGCTAACCGAGACGTGGCTTGACGCAAGTGTCGCTGACAGTGAGTTACTTCCTCTCGACTCATACACCGTGTTTCGCAAGGACAGAGGTGGCAGAGGTGGAGGTGTGCTGATGGCGATTCCATCAAAAATCCATGTTAATCGCCGCTGTGACCTCGAAAACAAGGAGCTCGAAGCGCTTTTCGTTGAGTTTCTTTTTTTTCCTCGTGGAACCATCCTTGTGGGCTGCATTTACTGCCCGCCCGCTTCACGAGAGGAAGCCTATAGACTACTAGAAGCACCCCTGGAATCTGCCGCCTCTAAACCTTATGCAAACATACTTCTTTTCGGCGACTTCAACGCGCACATTGACTGGCTTTCTTACGGGGACCCAGTCCCTCGTGACCGTTCCGACGACGTCCTTCTTGAGACTATGAGCGCCGCTGGCCTGGCCCAAGCATGCCAACAGCCAACGTATACGACCCACGACGGTACACCAAACTTTCTTGACTTGGTGCTCGTTTCCAACCAGACGAGCATCGAAGCTGTTGACGTATCGTAAGGCCTCCACGGCAGTGACCACAAAGCCGTGGAACTTCGCTACGCAGTCTCCCTGCCACTCACACGGCATTACGCTCGTATGTTGTGGGGGTTCCGGCAACTTGACTTTGATCACATGGTACAATAGGCCCACCTGGCACCGTAGTGTATGACCTCTGCAGGATCAGACTGGTTATCCAACTATGACCTGTGGTGTGACTTCATGGTCGCCATTCAGAAGGAATGTGTTCCTTGCTCCGTCCGCTCATCAAAGCGAAAACACTCGCCGTGGATCACAGCCGACATCGTCAAGGCCGCGCGAATCAAGCGATCACTGTTTCGGCGGGCACGCCGATCCCAGTGTCCTGCCACTCTACAACTGGCAAAACATCACCAACGGACACTTAAGGCTACGATCTACATCTCCCACCAAAACTACGTTAGCGATATTGCTGAAAGGGCTAAGAAAGATCCGAAAGTCTTCTGGATCTACACTAGATCCCTACGCCATTCATCCCAGCGACCATGTTTCGTCGTCCACGGCAAGATGGCTGACTCCCCACAAGAGATCGCTAATCTTTTCGCCGACCACTTTTCCTCTATAAACAACAATGGCCCACCCCCGAATTGCCCTGGACTGATTTTGCTCAACGAACATTACGCTGATGCCCCCGACATCCCCGAAGCGCGACCCTCGACAACAAGGGCGGGAAGCCTCGCCCAGTCGAAACTTGACACTGTGTCCTTCACCACCGAGTCATTACAGGAGGAGCTCTCCAAAATCAAGCCCTTTCACAGCTGCGGTCCAGACGGTATCGCGCCGACGTGGTTCCAAAGGCTCTGTCCGCTAATGCTGCCGACCACCTGCCAGATTCTGCAAGGGCTGTTTGACAGCGGTACTGTGCTAGGACCGTGGCAACGAGCTTTGGTCACTCCGCTACACAAGGGAAAAGGGAAGCCGACGAATGAACCAAAACATTACCGTCCTGTCTCAATCACATCGATTGTCTGTCGAACATTTGAAAGGATAGTTAGCGGCCAGCTTCTCAACCATTTTGAAGAATCCGGCTATCCCTCTGACAGTCAGCACGGCTTTCGAAGAGGTCGCAGCTGCGAATCAGCACTGGCAACTATTACCCATTTTATCAGTGATCACATGGATAATCGAACCATGACAGATCTAACCCAACTTGACCTAAGCAATGCGTTTGATACGCTCGACATTAATCTCCTGCTTGAGAAGCTCACACACGCAGGCCATACACGGTTTCCTATTCACCTGGATATCAAGGTTTCTGCGGAATCGCAGGCAACAAGTTGTGTACTGTGGGGCACGCTCTACAGAAAGGGTCATCTCATCAGGAGTGCCACAGGGCTCTGTCGTCGCTCCGACGCTCTTTCTCATGTACGTGAACGACATGCCACGCAACGACAAGTGTATTCTAGTGGAATACGCAGACGATACATCGATCACGACGACAATTTCGTCCCAGTCTGACGCACGTCACTTGCAAAGCTATCTAGAAGATATAGAGAGATTGATCTCGAGACAACGCCTAAGCCTGAGCGCATCAAAGAGTTCCGTGATACGTTTCTCAAACTGCAAAAAACGACAAGCCCTGTATATACTGTAGAAGGCGCTCCATTACCCGCATCAGACCACCTGTCCATCTTGGGTGTCACGTTTTCCCAAAACTTCGATTTTTCCGCACATATTGCGGGCGTTATCGCGAAGTCCCGCACGACGCTTGGCTTCATCACCCGCGTCGCAAATCCAGGTGGGCCGGCGGTCCTGCAGGCACTATATACATCCTTATTCCTGCCTTCATTAGAATACTGCTCTGCAGTTTGGTCTCCCCCTCAACGACACATAATCGAGAGACTGGAGAGTGTGCAGCGCCGCGCAACCCGCAAAATCTGCGCCTCGTCCCCTGGCACGACCGACATGCCGCACCACACACGGCTCGGAACCCTTGGCTGGCGGCCCCTCGATCAGAGACGGCGGATTTCTCGAGTTCGCGTGCTGTGCCGATTGCTCGACGGATCTCTTTCGGGGACTCGCCTATCGGCAGCCGTACGTCTCGGTAGAAGATCAGGTCAGCCCGAACTTCTTCGAGGCAGGACTGTTCGTCACAGCGAATCCCTGCTGCCTGCCGCCATTAGAGACTTTTTGACCATACCATTAGCTTCTCGTAGCCCTCTGCCCACATCACACGATGAATCCCGGGAACTTTGCAAGGTATTTGCTCGACGAATGCCTTCGCTTCTGCTGCCATCATGATCCTCACTCGCTCACTCCCTCTTCCTCTTGAATCATAATCATCATCATCGCCATCGTCATCAGCAACATCATCGTCATCACCACCACCTCCATCATCACTTCCATCATAATTTTAACGCTTCTAAAGCTGGGTAGTACTATAACTCCCAACGCACGCGGCGGCAGGCTGGCAGACGCACACGCGTAAGGGTTTTTGCCTATCTGCTTTGCCTGGCACGCCGCCGTGTGCGCACCAATTTAAGTGCAAATAAATCACTTACTCACTCACGTACTTACTTACTTGTCTTGGAAGATGGAGTCTACTGAGCGTGCATTCCTGCAGAATAATTTTTCATTGACAGAATATTGACAAGTCAATTAACAATTGATTCCTTCTTGGTAAGATTTATTGCGAAAGCCCGTGGCAACCGCCGAACCGCATGTCCCTATATCAGAGAACAATTATTACCCAGCCTGACATTCTCGCATCAGAGGTCGGCATTTTAGGTCGCCCTCACTCACCCTCACCCTCACAGTCACACTCACCTAAGCCCCTCACTCACCCTCACCCTCACAGCTACACTCACCTTCAGCCCCTCACTCACCCTCACCCTCACAGTCACACTCACCTACAGCCCTTCACTCACCCTCACTGAACCTCACGGCTTTCACGCACTCACCGCCCTCACGGCCCTCACGCCCCTCACGGCCCTCACGGCCCTCACCGCCCTCACGGCCCTCACGCCCCTCACTCACTCATGGCCCTCACGCCACTCCCCGCCCTTGCGGCCCTCACCGCCCTCACGGCCCTCACCGCCCTCACCGCCCTCACCGCCCTCACGGCCCTCACGCCACTCGCCGCCCTCACCGCCCTCACGGCCCTCACCGCCCTCACGGCCCTCACGGCCCTCACGCCACTCACCGCCTTCACGCCACTCACCGCCCTCACGCCACTCACCACCCTTGCGGCCCTCACACCCCTCACGCCCCGCACGCACTGATGGCCCTCACGCCACTCAGGCCAGCTTCAGATGGGGCAATTTCGCCCAGAAACTTTACGTCGCAACACCAGCAACACGGGCCGCCCGCGATCACACGCAGCAACCCATTGCTGCAATTTGCCATCGTCATCATAAAATTTTATTTTTCCTGCTCTATTTAGACACAATTACGCGTTATAAACGTGTTTTTGTGCATTTAAATCTCGTTAAGAATACTAATGCACATTTCTGAAACAGTTTATTTCCAAAAAAACGATCGATTTCAAACCAGAACCAGGTCTTTCGGTGTCATCATCCCCGGCACGAGGTATCACGTGAAAATTTTGCGTCCCTGATTCGATGCAGCCGCTTCAAACGCATTTGGATTGCTCCGAGTTGCTTGCTTATTTCGAGCCGGACCCGATCTCAGCAATTCGTGTCGATCTAGGGAAAGCTAGAAAACAACCCGCCATTACCACCAAAATTGCTGAGAAAGATGCTCGATCTGAAGGGGGCCTCACGCACTCACCGCCCTCACGCACTCATGGCCCTCACACCACCTCATGTACTCACCGCCCTCACGGCCCTCACGGCCCTCACGCCTCTCATGCCACTCACTGCCCTCACGCACTCATGGCCCTCACACCCCATCACGCACTCACCGCCCTCACACCACTCACGCACTCATGGCCATCACGCCACTCACCGCCCTCACGCCCCTCACGGCCCTCATACCCCTCACCGCCCTCATGGCCCTCACGGCCCTCACGGCCCTCACCGCCCTCACAGCCCTCACGGCCCTCACTCACCCTCACACTCATGAATTTTCCTGGTTCAGAAACTCACTCACCCTCACCTCACCTGTGAAGATGAGGGGAGTGAGGGTGAGTGAGGGCCCTCATGAGTGAGGTTTGCCGAGGTATGTCTCGCATACATGAGTTTGCTGGGCCACGCTATAGACCTTTCCAATGTTTACAAATCCACAGCTCAGCGTGCGATCTTCACAGCGCAGCACGCGCGTGTGCGTCGCTTCGGAAAGCGAGCAAATCACGCGCGATACGCACGAACACTGAAAATGAAACCGGCCAGCAGCCCTTTTCTGGAAAGGTCTATTGAGCCAGCTAGTGCCACTAAATAAGCTACGCTTCAGAGTAACGACACTTGGCCATATTGTGGCTTAAAATCATGGTTGCCAGTTATCTGAAGCTTTATCTGAAATCACAGGAAATGCTTTTCCGCCCTCCACAAATGTTCAAACCGTTCGCGACAGGGCAAAGCAATATTACATTGTACGCCACCGTGGTGTGTGTACAGTTAGGTCTTTGGACCTAACTGTACACACACCACGGTGGCGGCGGTGAACTTCGAGGATGGAAAGATGCAGTTCAGCGATCGGAGGGCACCCAGGAAAGACCGGACGCACATAGACCGGACGGAAGAGAACACGCCGCGGAGAGCGCAATGGCGAAAATGGCGGGAGGTCTACCTCGAAAATGTTCGACTGTTGTGACAGAGATTGCAAGGTGGGAGCGCTACCGCATCTAATCAGGACTTCACCTGCGCAACGCAGGATCACGGGTGAGCACCTTTCTTCACGAGATGGGAAGAGAAGCTGAGGACGTCTTCACTAACAGACGCCAGCGGCTGATCTTCCTTCATCTCATGAATACCACCTCTGAAAAAGCGATTCAACCGTCGCAAGCAAGTGACTAAACCCGGAGCGTATACGTCACCGAACCTATTTAGTTTCATTCTCCAAGTTTTTGACAATAAAGTACTGTCAACCTTCCATTTTGTGCCGTGTTTCATTGTTGCTGGAGTTGGTACCAACTGCAACTGGGACCAGTTGTA